AAATATTTTTTTCAAGTCTTAAATATAGGCGTGGATTTTTAATTTTTTTTCAAGTCTTAAATATAGACGTGGATTTTAAAAAAAATGTTTTTTCAAGGCGTGGATTTAAAAAAAAAACATTTTTAAAGGCGTGAATTTTTTTAAAAAAATGTTTTTTCAAGGCGTGGATTTTTTTAAAAAAATATTTTTTTCAAGGCGTGGATTTTTTAAAAAAATATTTTTTTCAAGGCGTGGATTTTTTAAAAAAATATTTTTTTCAAGGCGTGGATTTTTTAAAAAAATATTTTTTTCAAGGCGTGGATTTTTTAAAAAATATTTTTCAGTGTCCGTCCTCAAGGCGTGGATTTTTTAAAAAAATATTTTTTTCAAGGCGTGGATTTTTTAAAAAATAATTTTGAGGTCCTGACAAGGCGAGGATTTTTTAAAAAAAATATTTTTTTCAAGACGTAAATTTTTTAAAAAAATATTTTTTTCAAGGCGAGGATTTTTTAAAAATATTTTTTTCAAGGCGTGGATTTTTTAAAAAAATATTTTTTTCAATGCGAGGATTTTTTAAAAAAATATTTTTTTCAAGGCGAGGATTTTTTAAAAAAATATTTTTTTCAAGGCGTGGATTTTTTAAAAAAATATTTTTTTCAAGGCGTGGATTTTTTAAAAAAATATTTTTTTCAAGGCGAGGTATTTAAAAAAATATATATTTTTCAAGGCGTGGATTTTTTAAAAAAATATTTTTTTCAAGGCGTGGATTTTTTAAAAAAATATTTTTTTCAAGGCGAGGATTTTTTAAAAAAATATTTTTTTCAACGCGTGGATTTTTTAAAAAAAATATTTTTTTCAACGCGTGGATTTTTTAAAAAAATATTTTTTTCAACGCGTGGATTTTTAAAAAAAATATTTTTTTCAAGGCGTGGATTTTTTAAAAAATATTTTTTTCAAGGCGTGGATTTTTTATAAAAATATTTTTTTCAAGGCGTGGATTTTTTAAAAAAATATTTTTTTCAAGGCGTGGATTTTTTAAAAAAATATTTTTTTCAAGGCGTGGATTTTTTAAAAAAATATTTTTTTCAAGGCGTGGATTTTTTAAAAAAATATTTTTTCAAGGCGTGGATTTTTTAAAAAAATATTTTTTTCAAGGCGTGGATTTTTAAAAAATATTTTTTTCAAGGCGTGGATTTTTAAAGAATATTTTTTTCAAGGCGTGGATTTTTTAAAGAATATTTTTTTCAAGGCGTGGATTTTTTAAAGAATATTTTTTTCAAGGCGTGGATTTTTTAAAGAATATTTTTTTCAAGGCGTGGATTTTTTTAAAAAAATATTTTTTCAATGCGTAGATTGTTTGAAAAGTAGGCAAGGCGTAGATTTTTTAAAACATATTTTGTCAAGCGCAGATTTTTTAAAAAATATTTTTTCAAGGCGTAGATTTTTTAAAAAATATTTTTTCAAGGCGTGGATTTTTTAAAAAATATTTTTTCAAGGCGTGGATTTTTTAAAAAATATTTTTTCAAGGCGTGGATTTTTTAAAGAAATATTTTTTTCAAGGCGTGGATTTTTTAAAAAATATTTTTTTCAAGGCGTGGATTTTTTAAAAAATATTTTTTCAAGGCGTGGATTTTTTAAAAAATATTTTTTCAAGGCGTGGATTTTTTAAAAAATATTTTTTCAAGGCGTGGATTTTTTAAAGAAATATTTTTTTCAAGGCGTGGATTTTTTAAAAAAATATTTTTTTCAAGGCGTGGATTTTTTAAAAAATATTTTTTTCAAGGCGTGGATTTAAAAAAAATTTTTTTCAAGGCGTGGATTTTTTAAAAAATATTTTTTTCAAGGCGTGGATTTTTTAAAAAATATTTTTTCAAGGCGTGGATTTTTTAAAAAATATTTTTTCAAGGCGTGGATTTTTTAAAAAATATTTTTTCAAGGCGTGGATTTTTTAAAGAATATTTTTTTCAAGGCGTGGATTTTTTAAAGAATATTTTTTTCAAGGCGTGGATTTTTTAAAGAATATTTTTTTCAAGGCGTGGATTTTTTAAAGAATATTTTTTTCAAGGCGTGGATTTTTTAAAGAATATTTTTTTCAAGGCGTGGATTTTTTAAAGAATATTTTTTTCAAGGCGTGGATTTTTTAAAAAATATTTTTTTCAAGGCGTGGATTTTTTAAAAAATATTTTTTTCAAGGCGTGGATTTTTTAAAAAATATTTTTTTCAAGGCGTGGATTTTTTAAAAAATATTTTTTTCAAGGCGTGGATTTTTTATAAAAATATTTTTTTCAAGGCGTGGATTTTTTAAAAAAATATTTTTTTCAAGGCGTGGATTTTTTAAAAAAATATTTTTTTCAAGGCGTGGATTTATTAAAATATATTTTTTTCAAGGCGTGGATTATTAAAAAATATTTTTTCATGGCTTGGATTTTTTAAAAAAAATATTTTTTTCAAGGCGTGGATATTTTGAAAATATGTTCTTCAAGGCGTGGATATTTTGAAAATATGTTCTTCAAGGCGTGGATTTTTTAAAAATATTTTTTTCAAGGCGTGGATTTTTAAAAAATATTTTTTTCAAGGCGTGGATTTTTAAAAAATATTTTTTTCAAGGCGTGGATTTTTAAAAAATATTTTTTTCTAGGCGTGGATTTTTTTAAAAAAATATTTTTTTTCAAGCACCACCAACAGAGGCGTGGATTTTTTTAAAAAATATTTTTTCAAGGCGTGGATTTTTTAAAAAATATTTTTTCAAGGCGTGGATTTTTTAAAATATATTTTTTCAAGGCGTGGATTTTTTAAAAAATATTTTTTCAAGGCGTGGATTTTTTAAAAAATATTTTTTCAAGGCGTGGATTTTTTAAAAAATATTTTTTCAAGGCGTGGATTTTTTAAAAAATATTTTTTCAAGGCGTGGATTTTTTAAAAAATATTTTTTTCAAGGCGTGGATTTTTTAAATAATATTTTTTCAAGGCGTGGATTTTTTAAAAAATATTTTTTCAAGGCGTGGATTTTTTAAAGGCGTGGATTTTTAAAAAATATTTTTTTCAAGGCGTGGATTTTTTTAAAATATTTTTTTCAAGGCGTGGATTTTTTAAAAATATTTTGATCAAGGCGTTTTTTAAAAAAAAAATATTTTTTTCAAGGCGTGGATTTTTTAAAAAAATATTTTTTTCAAGGCGTGGATTTTTTAAAAAATATTTTTTCAAGGCGTGGATTTTTTAAAAAATATTTTTTCAAGGCGTGGATTTTTTAAAAAATATTTTTTCAAGGCGTGGATTTTTTAAAGAAATATTTTTTTCAAGGCGTGGATTTTTTAAAAAATATTTTTTTCAAGGCGTGGATTTTTTAAAAAATATTTTTTTCAAGGCGTGGATTTTTTAAAAAATATTTTTTTCAAGGCGTGGATTTTTTAAAAAATATTTTTTTCAAGGCGTGGATTTTTTAAAGAATATTTTTTTCAAGGCGTGGATTTTTTAAAGAATATTTTTTTCAAGGCGTGGATTTTTTAAAGAATATTTTTTTCAAGGCGTGGATTTTTTAAAGAATATTTTTTTCAAGGCGTGGATTTTTTAAAGAATATTTTTTTCAAGGCGTGGATTTTTTAAAAAATATTTTTTTCAAGGCGTGGATTTTTTAAAAAATATTTTTTTCAAGGCGTGGATTTTTTAAAAAATATTTTTTTCAAGGCGTGGATTTTTTAAAAAATATTTTTTTCAAGGCGTGGATTTTTTAAAAAATATTTTTTTCAAGGCGTGGATTTTTAAAAAAAATATTTTTTTCAAGTCTTAAATATAGGCGTGGATTTTTTAAAAAAATATTTTTTTCAAGTCTTAAATATAGGCGTTTAAATAGTTTTTAAAGTTAAAGTAAATTGCAAAATATTGAAATATTAAAAAAATAAAAACAAAATTAATTAATCGTAGCTTCCACTCAATGTTAGTTACAGATGTAAAATAAGAAAAGCTACTATCTTTAATAAGAAACTCTACTCATTTCTAGTTGGAAATCATGATCATGTTAGCCCACTCAAATGTTAAAGAATAAATGGTGGGGGGAAAGCTTTCACACTTACCTACTCTTTCTTTCGCTCTCTATGACTCTCTCTCTTTTCTGACACCAAACAGCTGGGTCTTGTTGATCAATTTTACCTCTAGCAGCTTGGGTTTGTGGCAACTGACAACTTGGCTAGCTCCCCATTGCATTAAGAGTTTAACCGGCCAATAACATATCAGCCTTGGCATTGACTTTGACTTCTTCGTTCGTTCGGTCGGTCGTTTTTCTTGTCTACAGCTGTTCAGCCGTTTGTTGGCTAAGAGCAAACCAAACACCGAAGACCATACATCAGTTGTTGAAGGTTTCGGCTAACAAAAGGTTGTGTTTCACGGGAAAAATACCAAAACGTCGACACGCGTAGGTTTTCTTCCACCAGAAGAAAAAAATTGCCTGAAAGAACAAAGAAATAAAAAAAATTTAAGAATTTGTTGCGCTTGAATCTAAGAATAAAGAATGCATAGTGTGAAGAAGAAAATAATAAAAAGAAATTAAAAGAAAATATAAATTAAATAAACAACGAAATAAACCCTAATTGAAAAGTCGTGTTTGTTGCTTAAGTCTTTTATTTTTGATATCGGAGAGAAGAAATTAAATAACAGCGGGTTGCAAGTTCGAGTTAAGTTCTAAGCTGTAAACTTGATTGAATGTTGAAAATCTAGCAAATCACTTGATTGATCATAAATTTTACAAAAACAAAAAAACAAGTGTAGTAGACAAAGTCCATTAGCTGACCCCAGGTTATTCATTCTATCCCTCTGCCAATCATCATCATCAGCAGCAGCAGTCATTGTTGGGGTTTTGAATTTTAAAAATATTATTATAAAGGCAATTCACAACTTAATCACATGCGTGTTTAATGCCAATTTCTGTGTGTGTGCATTATTTAATTTTTATTATTAAAATAATTACGACAAAAAAGATATAATAAATAACAAAAAGTAAAAAAGGCAAATAAAATATTCTTTACAAAATGAGTGTGCATCCAGCGTGTAATGATCAGCGGAACAATTGCAATGCAAAGAAACAGATCTCATCAAGACAGGCCTCCCCTTTGTGCATTTTTATTTGCACACTGTTGCTGGCCATTATTGGCAGCAATCATCATCATCAGGTGGTGGCTGAGGCATCTCCCGCCACTGCTGGTGGTGGTGGCATTAAAGGATTACGCATGCGTTCACCGAAAATTGCTCACATTCACGTGCTGCAGGCAGTAGCCGAAAGTTTACCAAAGAATACAGAAAATCAACAAAATAGTGAAGGAAAGAACCCAGTGGGTAAATATGGTAAGTGGAAACATAATAAGATTATGTCGTTAAAAGTTAAAAAAAATACTCTAAATTTTATAGGATTTCTTAAAAAATGCTCTATTATAAGCGTAGAGTTCTTCAAAAAAATATTCCATACTCTATTATAGGAGTGCATTTTTAATATTATGTTCATTCTCCTATTATAGGTAGGAATGTTAAAAAAACTATATTTCTATATTTGTTTAGACATATTTTGAAGGCTTATCAATAGACGTGGATTTTTACATTTTTTACGGCATAGCAATAGGCGTGGATTTTTTTTAAATATATTTTTTAAGACTTGTCAGTAGGCGTTGATTTTTTTAAAATATTTTTTCAAAGCTTATCAAGAGGCGTAGATTTTTTACAGATTTTTTTTCTAGGCTTATCAATAGGCGTGGATATTTTAGAGATTTTTTTCTAGGGTTATCAATAGGCGTGGATTTTTTTTATAATTTTGTTTTAAAGGCCCATAGTAGATAATTTTTTTAAAAATATTTTTTCAAAGCTTTTATAAAAGCGAGGATTATATTATTATTATTATTTTAAGGGAACATTTTTTCATGCATTTTTTCAAAGACTATCAGAGGCGTGGACATTTCAAAAATATATGTTTTCTATGGCTATTGTCGTGAATATTTTAAAACATATTTTTTCAATGATTATCAGAGGCTTGGATTAGGCATAGATGTAGGCATTTATACCTGTAGGCATTTATACCTATAAGCTTCCACAAATCATCTACGAAGTTGTATCCTCCACTCTCTCCAGTTGTCGTATACATTCACTTCCAAAGGAAAGACCTCATAGTCGGTCTAAAAAACTTCCTTCACACCTTCTGTAAGGGCTCAATCCAACTGGTCTATATAAACTTCATCCTGCCCTCGTCGAACTCATCAATAAACACTCGCTTCACCTCTCTGCCGTCAGCTCGTCTATAGAGACTCCCTTCAGCTCGTCTATGGAGACTCCATTCAGATAGCCTATAGGACTCCCTTCAGCTCGTCTATAGTGACTCCCTTCAGCTAATCTATAGAGACTCCCTTCAGCTCGTCAACTGAACTCAGGAAAATATGATTTTGAAAATATGCTAGAGAAGAAAGAGGAGCTGTTGACCTTTAATCAGTTAAAAAGATGCAAATGTGGCCCAGACTTGTAGTGTGTAGGCTATCATATGGTTGGGCCCGTCCGACAGCAACGCTTACTGGTTTTAAAAATGTTTTTCAATGATTATCTCCCTGATGCATATGTATGGATTTTAATGACTATCACAGGCGTAGATTTTTATACCCTACACAACTATGTTGTCAGGGTATTATAGCTTTGTGCAGCCCCAAGAGTTTGTAACACGACGAAATATTGGTCATAGACCCACCATTAATTATACCGATCGTCGTATCTCGACTAGCTGAGTCGATCTAGACATGTATGTCCGTCCGTCTGTCCATGTAGGATGGGTTCTGGCCAATGAAGACCCCTATTGTTTATTGTAAGATCGATTAATATTTAGCGGATGAAATGGACAAAAACTTTATTTTTGTCTGATTTTCTGGTGGCTCCAGAGTCCGCAATTATGGCCCAAACATTGCAAATTTTTACATGGAGAAGGGGATCGGGACAAAGTATAAGCGTGCCTGTTTTGATAAAGATCGTTAGTATTTAGCGGGTCAAATGGAACTTGACTTTTGTGTGAAAAATGACCAAATTTGCACTCTATGGCGTATATATTTACTCCTGAAGGACTTGAAGCCGAGATGTTGATAGTATATTTAAGAGGAGTAGTTGACCTTTAAATTGATTGTCGTATGTACTCGGATGTGGGAGTTACACTTAAATATTTACCGGTGCTTGCATATTCAGATATTAGTTATTAAACCATTACCATAATAGAGGACGGAAATATAACGCTTATCGCTTTGAAATGTTCCATGAGATTCCAGTTATGGTCAAGGACAGCGCCTATAATTTTCGGTGATGATCAGAATATTAATTTTGGGATGAAGTGAACCGAAAACTTAATTTTTTTGTATTTTTCAAATCGATCTATATGCCACTGTTATACGCCGAACATCACCGTACAACCCACGGTGAAGGCAATCTGGACAATTAATTAGCAGGGCTGTACTGAATATTAGAAATATTCGGAAAATATGTCAGTGTATGTAAGAGGTGCTGTTGACCTCTAATCGGGCAAGTGGTATAAATATCCACAGAAAGTTATAACTCCGTCGTAGTTGTGTAGGGTATCGTATGGTCGGCCCCGTCCGACTATACTGCTCCGCTCACTGGTTGTTTAAATAGTTTTTCATTATTTAATGCGTCTTGGCATTATTTATAGATTATTGTTAAGTAGAGATTTAAATTTAAATTGTTTGCCATATAAGGGAACCCCCATTCTCGGTGTTATTTTTTTTTATTTTATTCAAAACCGTTGGAATTTTCGGATTCCGATGTTCCTGTGAGGAGTTATCACGGCAGCCATCTAAAATAAGGACTTTAATTAAAAAAAAAACAACAACAAAACAATAACAAAAATTTTTTGTAAATTATTTTTCTTTTCTTTTAAATTTTCAAATATATATCTGCAAAGTTACAAACCTTAACAAGCAGTGGTATTGACTTACTTACTTACATAAGCTGAGCTTTGAAAAGATTTCCAGGCCTTTTGCGCAGTTTTTCCAATTTGAAAGACCATTTTCGGCAATGTTGGCCTTCCGCTTCTGCGTGAACCACCAGCTGGTTCGTTTTTTTTTTTTTTTTTTTGCCTTCTGGGCTGGTGCTTCTTTATCCATTCTCGCAACATGACCTAGCCAACGTAGTCCCTGCAGCTCAATACGTCTAACAATGTCAATGTCCGAGAATATCAACTCATGGTTCATTCGACGGCGATATTCACCGTCAACGCAGATCGGCCCATAGATCTTTCGGAGAATTTTTCTCTCAAACACGAGCTACCTCATCTGCTTGCGAAAGTACCCATGCTTCAGATCCATATAACAGCACGGGTAGTATCAGCGTCTTGTAGAGTGTGAGTTTGGTGTGGCGGGAGGTGGCATTTGTTTTTGAGTTGTTTGCTCAGACCATAGTAGCATCTGTTGGCCATCACTATCCTTCTCCGAATTTCAAAACTGATGTCATTCGTTTTAGTTATGGCGGTACCAAGGTATATAAAATCCTTAACTACCTCGAAGCTGTAGTTCTCAACTTCCACAGTTGGTCCGAGTCTACTGGACGTCTTGCGATGGTATCAACCATCAGCTTTGTCTTCTTGCCGTTTACTGCCAGACCCACTGTGGCAGACTCCTTCTAAATTTGTTCAAATGTGGCTGTTATCGCCCTCGGTGTTCGACCCATTATGTCGATGTCATCGGCGTAGACGAGTAACATGTGTTGTTTGTTATGACCTTTTCCATTAGGATGTTAAAATCACACGACAAACTGTCACCTTGTCTGAATCCTTGTTCGGTATTGGAGGGCTCCGATAGGTCCTTTCCGACTTCAACTGCTGATCTTGTGCCAGTTAAAATTAATTAATTTTGCAGGAATGCCAAACGCAGATATGGCTTTAAACACCTCTGAACTAATAGGGCTGTCGAATGCGGCTTTATAGTCGACGAATGGGTGGAATGTGTCGATGTGTTTTTCGTGGGTTTTTTTCAGGATTTGGCGGAGAGTGAAAATCTGGTCAATGGTTGATTTGCCAGGTCTGAAGCCGCATTGGTATGTTCCAATAATGTCATTGACCATTGGCTTCAGTCGTTCACACAGTACGCTGGATAGCACTTTATATGCGATGGGAAGGAGACGTATTCCTCTGTAGTTGGCACATATCGTCTTGTCTCCTTTTTTTGTGCACGGGACATAGGGATTGATTTACCAGGCCATTGAAAATCTGGAAAAATTTAAATCGAGAAATCGGAGGTTCCCTTAAAGTTTTTTTCCTCTAAAAACAATATCGAAATTTAAAACCACTTTGTTGTTATTATAAAACATGTTTTGACAATGCAATATTTAAGGGTCTTGATTATGTTGCTTAAAAATCGTATAATTGCAATTGATATAATTTAAGGTTAATTGTAATAAATCAAAAAGATCTCTTAAGCAGCAAATATATAGTTTCACCAAAAAAACTTGAAGTTGCAAAAAAGTGAAACGTTGTTTTTTTTCTGTACATAAAAATTTATATTTGAAAACGTTTGCAAACATGATTTACATGCCCACACAACCGTGATGCCTCCACTTCTTTGCTAAAAAATACTATTTAGTAATTTATTGCATATATAACATAACATTTACAACAAATTTTTAATTAATTTCATTTTATGGGCAACTTCGGCCGATCATTCACACCTCAGCCTAGACTAATGTGAAAATGTGCAGCAGCAGTGGCAGTGGCAGCAAACAAGCCAAAACATGCAACGTTTTCAAATTATTAAGCGATTGAACACTTGTAATTAATTTTTTAATTTTTTCGATTTTGTTTTTTTCATTAACATTATTTTGCAATTTATGTTGCAAATGTTTTTTACAACATCAAATGGTCTGTGTGTGTTTTGGATGGTTACTTTCGTTCGTCCGTTCATTCATTCATTCAGCCATTAACGGTGGAGATTGCCAATAAAATCGAACGAATGACTCTACCAATAATAAGTTTGGATATTTTTTTTGGCGATTTTCTACACCTTGGCAATAAATGACAAATGGTTGCTGTTGATGAATGAAAAAAAAAATAAAGAAGAGAAGATAAGTAGCTATTGATGTTGAAAAACTATTCGAACTAAATAGCAGTCAATAATAGCAAAGCGCATAAACTCTGAAAATTTCAAAGCGACTGAATTTTAGCTCTGCAGTGTCGATTTGCTTTGGATGATAAAAAATATAGTGGCCAAACTAAATTTCACTTTCTTTCAGTTTTTTTTGTGGTTAGAAATTTAGATTGATTTTTTGGTGTTTGAAAAGGGAATTTTTATTCGAAATTCGGAATTTAGAGGAGCAGT